GCTCCACTATATCTAGATAGTTTTTTACAATATACTCTTCAAACAGCTATAATAACAGCACAAAGCAAGAGAAAAACAAGTAACTACAAGACAAGAAGCAAATGAAAATAAGTATGCAGCAGGTAGAAGTTCAGACAATAAAACGTAGACGCTTTATGAGTCTCAAGGAATTTCTGCTATGGCTTTCAAAGACAAACGAACAGAGCCACTGAGAAAACAAGGGTTCAGTTTGTTCTTCACAAATGAATCAAAGCAAATTAAATGGAATGCAATCAACACAGTTAAATCACTACCTATTATTTAAGTGTGTTTTTTCTTGTTTGGTTGTGAATCCCACATTGCCACACCAGAAAAAATTCCTATTATTATCTTTTCATCACCTTCACTTTCTTCATCTCCAACCGTTAGACGTATCTCAGACAATGAAGCATATAATCATGTTCACATCTGCTTCAAGAAACAAAATAAAAAACGAGACAGAGGTACAACTGCATGCATTCCCAAATATGTTTTCCTGGTATGAGAAGCATGTTGAAATATGTCAAAAAATAAGAATGAAAACAAGATAAATTAAGAGCACGCAACTTGAAGGAATGTAATTACGGTACAGAAAAGAGAGACCTTGAGGACTCACCAGATTTGATGAACACTAAAATATTTTTGTGATAAAAAATAGTAAATTCCAGCTCTAATCACTCCATCTTCATTGCATTCTTCATTTCCTCCTAGATATGAGCAGAGCAACCGGTGAAGGAATATCAGAAACTCAAACTAAAATAGAATTGCACCGAGCTAAATTTTGATTAAACATGCGAACCCAAAATTATCAATGCATTAGTAATCTATTAGAACAATGAAACGTGTGTTGCAGGATATCTGCATGAAGACAACACTTGTGCTTCACTTTAATTCTTCACAAAGTAAACCACATGACAAAATCAACAAAGTTCCTGACAACCCAAAAACTTATTCCAAACTCTTTTACTATTTTAGCAAACTTTAACAGCTTCCTATGATGAAGAAACATAATGATTATCTTTTCGCTCCAAGTCACATTACTTCAATCAAATGATTTTGCTTTGATACCTTAGAATAAAAGAGTCCATAATACACTACTATACTATCACCCAAAATTTAAATTCCTTCATCAATTATGAAGAAACTACACACAAACATAAATAAGAAATGCATATTGGGCAAGAAAGGATCAAAAATGACAAAGCAAATTTCCATGTTTGTCAGTAAAAAACTGTCTCTTTTTGAGGAAGAAACAAATAACACGAATTAAAAAGACACCCACAAAGATACACGTAAAGGGTAAGAGATCATGGTACCAGACGATGCCGTAGGCGCCCTTGCTGATGGGCGTGATGGGGGGCTTGTACTTGGCAGTGACCTCGAACATGTTCCCGAATATGTTATACTGTATGAACCTGCCACTGTGGCTAAGCGTAGCCGGAATACTCTCCATCCCGCCGGCTACCATTTGCGGGGCCGGATGCTGCTGCGGGTGTTGTGGGTCGCGTTGCTGGGCTGCCTCGGCCATCTCGGTGTCGGCAGGCTGCGCTCCGGCTCCTCCTCCTTCCATATGAGCTTGGTTGTCGAGATGGGATGTGGGATTCCAGAAGGGAGAGGAGAAAACGGATGCTGAAAATGGTGAATGGACCTAACGGTTTGAATCTGTCGGCGTTATACTCTGCTTTCCCATTTTTTGTTTTTAGCAGGGTAACTGTGCTGGAGTGTTTGGTGACTTTGGCCCCTTTCTTTCTTTTCTTTTTCCTTTTTAATTCAATTTGTTTATTCAACTAATATCCTTTTTTTTAGAAGTTTATTCAACTAATATCTAAAATAATGTAAATAAAATGATAAAACATGATATTAGTGTATATTAGCCTGATTTATAAAAAAAATTAAGTAAAAAAATTAAAACTTAATTGTTTCAATAAAATTTGATAAAAAAGATTAAAGTGGTCTCATTTAAAAAAAATTAAAATGTTTTAATTTTTTAATAAAAATTAATTAAAATGATGTAATGTTAGGTTTTTTTACTTTTTTTTTTTTATAAATATGGTTGATAGATAAATTTTTTATAAAATACTTAAAATTATGT